GATTTTTAAATACTACATGACACACAATTAATTAAAAAGCACGAAAAACAGCCAAAAAGATTCTTGTTAATCATGAAGACAGAACGTGAATGTTTGCATGAGAGAGAAAATATGAGAAACATTCCTTTCTTCCCTAAAACGGGAAGCGAATTTTTCTGCCATGCTTCCAACAAGAAGTCTACGATCAATGATAGACTGTAAAGTCTGCTGTTTGGTATTTAAAAATCAAAGCATTGAAGACGAAAAACTTGGTTCATGTGTTGCACCATCTCAGTAATTACAAGTGAATTCTCACCGACGCTCAACTTTAGGAAACAGAATCACCGTGCTCAGAACCTGAGTTACCAAAGTTCTCCTAAAACTCTACAATCTTGCTCATTATTTGAAAGCCCTTATTTGTATTTTGTGGTGGAGTACACGAAATAGTAGAAATGAAGGAAAGATTCAACCTAGGAAATAACGTGTTGGTTTATAGCAATATGTGTTTCTAAACGCTTCAGTGAATTCAGTCTTTTAAAATTTAAACCCACCTAGGTGAGATTAAAAACAGAATTTCTTCATTTAAGCGTTATTATTTATTTCCATAAATGAATAATTAGCGAATATTCATGGCTGTATGGGCAAAGATCACTTTTAATTTTGATGGATCCATCTTCCGCCGTATGAATAAACCCCCTGATCGCCTTCGACCCGCTTTCAAATACCAGCTAACGAGGATGATTGCGTAGCTTGATATCGTGGGTTTCCTGCGCAGATGTTTCCCGTGGCTTCAAGAGATTTAATTTTGGTAAGCTCGAAATTTTGAATAAGTCAAACGGATTGTTTTCAGAAGAAAAAAGGTATTAAAAGTGTTAATACGAATTTATTTTTCTTATTAAAATCAATATTTATAACTACTTAAATGTTTTTCTAACACGAATTTCTTTCTTATTAAAATCAATTTTTTTTATAACCTCCTGAATGTTTTTCTGTACATCATAAAGAGTGCACGGTTTCGAGGATGTTCTTGTTCGTAAGACTTAGGGAAGTTTAGTTTCTTATCTTCCTTTTTAGATTTTACCCGCATTTTTTTAAGTTACTATGCTTACAGTCAATTGTGTTAATATGCTAGTAAAATATGGATTGAAAATATAATTTTTCGAGGTTATCATTTTTTCGCATTTCTTTGCTGAAATTTTTGCTTACAAAATGTGTTATTTTTCATGCATCTTTGCTTTTTTTTTTTTTTTTTTTTTGAAAAAAATAAATTTAGAACTGTATTGTACTAACCTGAGCTGAGGAATTTAATCAATAAAAGATACGAAAGACATGTAGTAATGTTTATTGATGGCTGTTAGGATTTGGAATTGGAGACACAACCTGAAACTTTTATAAATAATTCCGCCAGCTGTGGAAGTTATCTATGACATGGTCCTAATGAGGAAATCAGATGATCTAAGCCAAGCAAGAAACTTTAATGGAATTGAATGAAATCCTGCATTTCGTTTTTTCCCCATCTACGCTATACCGTATTTCATTTGAAATTGGCTTCATTGAATGTCGAAGAATAAAACTTTTATGCATTTATTGATGGTTAGAGTGGTGGTGTTATTTTGGAAGCAAACAAGAATTGTAAAGCAAGTCTACGATAGAAATTTAAAAAGCATATTGGAAAGATGCGTAACCATATAAAGTTTAAAAAAAAAAAAAAAAAAAAAAACGTTTTTTTTTCAAGGGCCTCTCGGCCAACAAAAATATGCCAAAGATCGCATAAATGTATAAAACAAATAACATAACAAACAACCAAAAAATAAACATTTTTTTACGTTGTATTTACTCTCTTGCCCTCAGTTAATCAATTGAAATGTTGAAGAAAAATACGTAATAGCATTTCATATGAACAGTGATCCTTTTTTTGAAAATGCATTACGTTTGTGTTTGAGTTGATTTGATAGCGCAAGTATACGAGCTATTTCTCTTAGAAAGTCTTCCCCGAAGGCATCCCTTCCCTAAGGCAGAAAGCCTTCCCGTGTTTTTCTTTAATTAAGTAAACCAGATTGATTTGATAGCGATTGAGAAGTATGTATTAAAAATTAGTTTAAATTATTTGTACATTCCAGACGGGAGGATGATGTTATTTAAAAATATTAATTCTTCCTGTCATAAGCAGAGAATGTTTGCGAAGTGGTGAAAACTTTTCTTTTAGGTAAATAAACTTGTTAAAGTTCCATCTACATAAAGAAATCCGTTTAACTGTAATTTTAATACATTCCAGTTGCAGTTTAAGAAACAAGTTCCAGCGTTTCTCAAGCTTTCTTCAAGTGGGGATTACTTTTATAAATTAGAATGTTCTGACGACTACCTGACTCATGTTTTCCTTCGGAAGCAAATTTTTTAGTATATATTTGTATTAGTTTATATATTTAAAATAAATTAAAATTTAATTTTATATTGGTACTAAATAATTAATTCTTGTAGAAGAAAATTTATATTTGTGTGTAATAATTCAAGGCTATTAGAGTTCGGATACTCTTTTATCTTATTAACTAAAATTTTAATTAATGTTGGTACTCACAAATGAATGAGATAGATGATTCTCGCAGTTTGTGCGTAACTGATGTGTGTGTGGATGTATGTTAGTAAGAAGCATAACGGTTTTAATCTTCTAAATCCTTCTTTTGTTGCTAAGACTAGACTGGGAAATTTGAAAGTAGAATAACCGATAATAAATTTCACAAAATGTCCGTTTTGAGAGAAAAGAAATAGCTAACTGCCATGTGTAATTTTCAAGCTGAGATTTTCAGCTATAGTATCGTATACGCAATTCATTTGAATTTTATTTTTAGGTCTTTTTCGGAAATTTAAGAGGTTTCCGAAAAAGCTTCGGTTTTACGTTTAAAAAGAGGGCGTAACAAAAAAAAGTTGAAAGGTTTCAGATTTCAAATTACGTCCTAAAGGGGCATCTTTTTTAACATTTTGTGTGTTACCTTTATTTATTAAATATCATGCTCTTCGCACTTAAACCATAAAATTCAGTTCAACAGCAATATCACAAAATAGTTTTAAAATGAGTGTATCTTTAGAATTTCCGATACACAGTATCGCGTGTTGGAGATATATATATATATTTTTTTTTTTTTTCCCTTTTTCCCTGTACAGTGTTGCCATTGCTCGCTTTGAAATCGTTGAGATTGTGAACCAAAAATTCGTTAAAGTTTTACAAAATATGAAATAGATAATAAAACAAATTCCAAATTTGGACTCCCAGATTCTCCTATTCGGGTGGAAACGTATGCTATTCAAATTTTAATGACTCTAGGTACCGTTGTTTTATCACAGTGTGAGAAACATAAATAATTCATGCAGATTTTTCATAATTTAATTCCTTTAAATATGATACAGAGCGATAATATTTGGTGGCAACAATTTGAAAAGTGAAACAACGCTTATCGTGAATCGAAGCAAAATGCCAAAACGATATTAATAGTCCTACTGGGCGAATTGGCCCTTTGGACTAATAAACATATTGAAGTGCAGGTACTCTTTGAAGTACTGAAATCTGTTCCCTAAATCTTTTGATAAAATGGTAACCAAAACTGCCTTTTATTATTTATTTTCTTTAATTTATTATTTATTTATTTTCTGTTTACTTAAATTTATGCAAACATGAATTCAAAAGTGAACTGAATCATTTTCTTAATGCGAGATTATAGAATTTCAGTTTGATTTCAAATTGGTCTGCAATTATACAATTTCAGTTTGATTCCGAATTCTGCCTTTCTTTGAAACATCGTTTATTGGTTGGTTTATGTCAGAAATTCCCAACGGAGTCGTATTGACCCTCTAGGGTCGATGACATTTTAAATGGGTCAGTGGTGATCAAAGGCTTGATTAGCCGAATATGCACCGGCAATTGATCGGATTGGCAAGATCCCATTGATTACCCCCCCAAATACAAATTTAGCAATTAGCACGTAGTAAGGGAGAAATCATTTAAAATAAATATGTGAGGAAAATATACAAAAATTATTTAATATATTTTAAATCGATAATATTGTTTTTGAATGTATAAGTGTTTTATGCAAAAACTGTTACCGACAACCGTTATTGACTTTTCCCTTCTCTTACTTAATAGATGCAAGTTGTTGAATGAGATGACTTAAGAGTTAAGCAATTTTATTCCGAGTTTTAAAAGTATTGCATCTATACATCAAGTGCAGCAATCACATTGATTCAAATCGAACATTTGTGCAGTTCGAATCTATAATTTTGTTTTTGAAAACTTATTTATATTTGTGAAATTAAAAATAGTAATAATACAAAAATGCTAAAACATAAGCCATTTTTTCAAAACTTTTGTTCAAATTCTTAGTCTTAAGTTATTTATTTGCAATTATATTATGATTATGTTGTATTCTAAATATTATAGAGAAAAATATAAACGTGCCTCTGAAGAAAACGAGCAGATCGATGGAAGAAAAAGATTATGAAAGTCTTTTAGGTATTCAAGACGCGTATTCAGTATATCTAAATCATAAAATCGTATCTTCTTTTCATTTTCGAATTTGACGTGGCATACGTTTATTTTTTTGTTTATTGTTCAGTTTTATAACGTGGGCTTGACACCTCCGTGTAAATGCAGAGACAGAATGGGAAAAAAATGGGGGACGCATGGGGAAAAAAAGTGTCTTATCCGTGTATTAGAAATTTCAGTTTTTTACCTTTTTTCAAAATATATTTCACTCATTATTGAAAATTTCTTATGCGTTTAGCTCGTTCTCTGTTATGTGAAAATTTATCGTAAATCAAATTAAAAAACATTACCCACGTCTTCCACGTGAAGTAAATGATAGCTATAACTTGCCGGCACTGTTCAAAAATATTTGAAGAACGCGCGTTCTGAACGCAGCTCTTCGGTTCACTGAGTTCCACCCCTGCGTCTTCTCCATCCGTTCTTTGCCATAATCGTTCTGGAAGCAACCGATTATCTGCGTCAGTGAGGTTCGAACGACTCGGTGAGCGAGAGAATTGTCCCTCTTGTCTCGGTCTCAGAAAGTTGAGTGAGAGGAAAAAGGGTTGAACAACTTGTCTTCAGCTTATAAACCGGAACGGCATCCTGGTATGGCCCCGGGTGTTTTCTTTTCTTGGCAATCGGTAGTCTCTGGACATTCCGATGAGTAAGCGGACTGCATGCCGACGGGGGCCGAAATCTGAAAATTGGCCGAATGACCAGACAGGATTCGTCAAAAAAATGTAAGTTGGTCTTTGATTTTAAGTGTTTGATTTTTTGTTTTCGATTTTATTGTCTTTTTATATTATCGATGTTTAAAGAATTCTCCGAAGCCAATCCGCAATAAAACAGTTTTCTATACTAAAATATTATTTCAGACAATTAATTTGACATTTGTTTATTGCATCAACAGTTTATTATGCAAAGTAGTCAATTCCTTATCAACTAGCTGAAAACTTCACATAGTTTCTTAGATTGTTATAAATTTAATAATGCTGATGTTCAAATGGAGCTTTTTCGATCGGTCAGGTATTATTCCTTGTATTGCTCTCTTCTTATTTATTGAGTTCAGTTATTAATATTACGAGATTAGAAGAAAACTATTGCGCAGAAAATGAGACCTCTATCCATTTCGCCACTCGAGAAATTGATATTAGAACCATGATTTAATTTTATAATTGTTATATATCTTTTTAACAATATATCGTGGAATAATTGTGTCAGATATCTTTTTTTCGTAAAAATTCGTGCTAAAATTGTTTACACATTTTTTTTCGTTTTACAGTATTTTTTGTTTAAAATTCTATAATATTTCCAGGCACTCGGACGAGTAACTCAGAAATTCATCCCTAGAACATCCGTTTTAACCCAGAAAGGCTATTAGTCTTGAAACGGCATTTTGCATTGAATCACTTAAATGCGATGTATCACTTTTCAAATTGGTTCCACCAAATATTATCGCCCTATATTATGTTAAAAAAAATAAATAATCAATCTGCTTGAATGTATAAATGTTTCTCGCATTGTGAAAAAACAATGATACCTTAAGTCATCAAATTTTGAATAACGTAGTTTTCCACACGGATGTGGGCACGGGGAAAACAGAATTTGTAATTTCAGATTCGTTTTATTGTTTCTTTCATATTTTGTAAAACTTTAACGAGTTTTTGATTAAAATCTCAACAATTTCGGGGGGGAGGGGAATTATCTTCATCGAATGAGACTCTAAGAAAATTCTAAAGATATGCTGTTTTTAATTGTTTTTAGCCCAAAGTTTTGTCAGCCCAAATGTTCTCGAAACGTGTATGTGTGTGTAAGTGAATAAAACGCCCATTTGGGCGTAATAATAAAATCTGTCAGATTATTTTTAATGAATTTTGCGATTCTTGTGTTAACTGATTATGTAATCGTGTATCTGAAATGCAGAATAATTTGACAATTAATGTATTTCGTTTATTAACAATTTGTATAAAAAACATTAACAGTCAAATAGTTCACTTTCGTATTTAAGTATTGAATATTTTATGATATTTTGTGAGTGCATAAAACGAGGTTTTCGGAAATTGGCTATAAAATATTTTCACGCTTTCTAAAATAATAATAAAAAAGGGTTTTGCTAATCAAAAAGTTTAATGATTGCATTTTAAAGTATAAAAAGTGCTTACAATGTCATGGAGTATCCCTGTTATGGTGTAGACAGGATAAACTGGGTATGTTTATTTGAATCTTTAGTTTTCTGTCATGATAATTAGCTCTATTTTTGAGTCGAGTTACAAGACTGCATTTAATTTATCACGTACTCAATTCATTTATTGCTAATTGTGTTAGATATAGGCAGATAGATGATCCTTTTTACTTTCTTGTAAAGTGAAGGAAGTATTGTAATCACGAAAAATTCCGGTTACCATATTTCAACGAAAATAGCTATTTTAATCACTATCGAATGCAATTTAATGAGCCGTGACATCTGTACGTAAGGATTAGGATAAAGGACTCTTTCCCCAAGCAAATTATAAAACCTATTTAAAATGGATTCAGAAGAGATTTTTTCGTGGCGTCGCGAGTTATGCGAGAGCGTATGTATCTCGCAAATTTTGTAAAACGTTAACGATTTTTTATTAAAATCTCAACAATTTCGGGGTGGAGATTATCTCGATCGCCTGAGACTCTGTGTCGGAAATTCTAAAGATATGCTGTTTTTAAATTTTTTTAGCCCAAAGTTTCGTTAGCATACGTACGTATGTATCTCGCATAGCTCAAAATCCATAATAGTCTCAGAATGTTGAAATTTTGCATGCGAGACTGCTAATAACATGTAGATGTGCACCTCCACAGCGCAAGCAATTGCGCTGTGTTCTCTTCCTATCGCAATAATATTAAAAAATGTAAATGTTCTGGAAATAGGTACGATTAGACTGCCAAGTGAATTGTAGCCACAAATGTAAAATTTGCGTTCCGGCATCAGTACTTCTTTAAATTTTTCTTTCATTGCATATATATCAACTCTGTTACTCGTCTTGGCGAGGTCAGTTTTGTTTATTCTTATATGTTGGTAAATTGTGCATTTTTTTCTTTAAAAATGATTCAATTATGTTGTTTTTATCTTCCGGTTAAGGTTTTTATGCCTTTAGTTAACCTGCATGTTATAGTTTTAGAGTTATTAACAATTTAAAAGCTTTATGACTGCGGCTAAGCCTTTTTTTTTTTTTTTTTTTTTTTTTTTTTTTTTTTTTTTTTTTTTTTTTTTTTTTTTTTTTTTTTAACCATAGCAGCCAAATTTGTTTACATTTGAACTTACTAGCGGATTTATTGCAAAATAGTGGAATTTGTTGCCAATCTAGAGAAACTAAGCTTCGAAACAACAAAGTAACATCTTCTTTTATTATTGCGAATAAAATGATGCTTAATCCATTCTGGAATTATCCTTTGAGTTATTAAATTATCTTGTATATTGACTCACCATAGCGTCCACAACAAATTAAGTCAGTTTTTATTTTTATGCTTTCGGTGTCTTTTTTTGCCGAGTGAGACCAAAAGTAAACTTTCAGTTTTGTGCACCTTACCCGCGGGCCGAATTGCTTGTTTTTGAGTAGAAACAGTAATTTTAATTGTAAAAAATTTTTCTTTAAAATTATTTTAACTGTATTTGTTGTTTTATGTTTTTCTATATCTTCCGATTTTTAATATAGATATTTTCAGTTTTTGTCTATTTTTGCCATATCGCGTAGTGAGAACTGAATTAATTGAATGAGAAATGTATCTCTAATGAAATTCGAGGAAATAAGTTAAAATGAAATGCAGGAAAAAATGCGTATAATTTAATATTCCGTACAAGAAAGCCATATGGTGTACACATAAGATTTTTTGAAAGGTGTAACTTGCGTTTCAAAATTTCGTTCTCAATTTAAGATTTTTTAATTTAATTTAATTTTTTATTCATTGCAGTTTGGTTAATGTCTATTTGTTATGTTAGCATTATAATTTAATAGTATAAGTCGTGCAATACATGAAAATGACAAATACACGGGGGTGGGTTTAACTTGCATTCTTCAAATCTCTGGGTATAACATCACAAAAAACTGTTAAAAGTATTAAAAAAGCGTAAATAATTATACAAATAGTTTGATTCTTTTCTGCGATAAAAGTAATATCTATTGCTGCCGTATCATAAAACGAAATCTTTAAAATTAAAATAAAACTCAAAACTGAATTTCAGTTTTAAACATTTATTTCCGCGTTTCTTTTTTAAATGTAAAATGATGTAAGTGGAATAATATTGAAATACTAAAAAATACATTACCGTTTGAATAAAATTAAAAGAAAATGAAAGATTGAAATCTGTACGTTACGACAAAATTTCATCATCATCATTCAGTCTTATTTCGAATTCAGAGAAAGGAAAGTAGAATTAGAAATTTTTGCAATCTGTAAGGTTACAAAATATTCGAGTCATATTTTATTTGTGACACATGTTGCAAATGTTATTTAGCAGTATATTTAAAGTAACTTTTGATTTATACAGTTAGTTGTGCTGTAAACATCAGTTAATTATGTTGAAGGCCTTTTATGACATTAAAGATAAATAACAAAAAGATATTCATCCTCCATTGGCGATAACATAACTCTCTTGTTTCTGATTTTTATTTGCAGTAGACAAGATTTATTGGGAATTGGAGAACAAATTAAATATTATTAACCTCTCGAAGAGGGGATAACAATGAAGTAAGGAAAAAAAGCTGTTTTGGAAGAGGTCTAAATAACTTAAAATTTGAAGTTGCAGAATTTTCTGAACCCACGGGAAGTTTCTCAGTATTTGTTTAAAACTGCGTTCTAGAATTTCGATGCATTGTTTCCTAATGCTGTAGAACTGTTTAATATTTGCAAAGGAAACGTATATCTTTGTCACAGTAAAGAATTTGCTGCGTGCATAACGTCTTTATTCAGCATTCACATTGCTATTCTTCCTTTTTCCTGTCATAAATTTTCTTCGTAATGTGAGGTATTGAATTAGTAGTTATTGTTGCTAGTGCAATTGCAGCTATCACTCGCTGCTTGTGCTGAATGATAAGATTTAAAAAATAAGTCTGAAAGGGTTCAGATTTTAACTGTCCCCTAAAAGGCATTTTTAAGTTTTTTTTCCCGCTCTCGCTAAGCTGGCTACCTACCAGTCTGCTTTTGCACTCGCCCATTTCTTTTTCCCTTTTAAGTTTTAGTATAAAGTATTTTCTTCGCACTTAGCCGTATACAAATCAACAGAAATTTAAAAAAATTTTGAAAAGTATACAGCACCATTTGTTTGAACTCTCGATGCAGTGTTAAGTGTTGGCATACATTTTCCTATTTTTACTTCCTTGTGCGAAGTAAAAAGGAAGTATTGTAATCGCGAAAAGTTTCAGGCAGCATATTTCAACGAAAATATCCATTTTGACCGCTATCGAGTGCAATTTGTAAAACGATGTTTTTGCGTGATATCTGTACGTAAGGACAGAATAAAATACTCTTTTCCTTCAAAAAAATTATAAAACTGCTTTAAAATTAATTCTGAAGAGAATTTTTCGTGGCGTCTGTACGTACGTATCTCGCATAACTCAAAAACGAATAGCCTCAGAACCTCAGAAATTTTGTATATAGGACTGCTATAACATGTAGATGTGCACCTCGTATTTTGGTTGCAATCGGCCGCACCAAACGTATATAAATATATTTATATATATATCCATTCTATTACCCGGCTCAGTGATCT